GGGGGCGGAGGGGCGCAGATGGTCTGATGCTGCACCGGCGTGGAGGAAGCAGCAGATGAAAATAGCTCCGGGGGCGGCAGCTGACTCACGCCGCTGAGTGGCTGGAAAGGCGGGAAGTCGCTGGCACCGTGTGACCAGTCAGCTGGCTCAGCCACCCTCACTGATGACATCACAGGGGCTTCCAGCCAATCAAAGACGCTTCTTAAATGTATTGTACTCAAGTTAAATACAACAGAACCCGACTGAACAAATATGCTGTATTGGATGAACAAAAATAAAATCATAAGCTCATATAATTATGCGCGGTTTGAGGGATTAATGTAGTGATTGTTTTGTGTACCACCAGAGGGAGCCCTTCGAACAGACTTTGAAAATATTCAATAAATAGAAATATACATTCGAATAGCGGGGGATTGGGGAATATAAAGGTCAAGAGTCTATCGAGTCTGTCCTGCCGAATTTAGTGCCCCTCAGATGTGCTCGCGTCTCCTTTGAAAGCAAATCGGTTCATATTTAATGAGTGTGTGTGTGTGTGTGTGTGTGTGTGTGTGTGTGTGTGTGTGTGTGTGTGAGATCAGGTTGAGGCCATGCAGTCTCTGTTCGGTGGCGGCGAGCTGGGCCTGCTGGGCGGGGCCAGCGAGGGCGGCGGTGGCCTGAAGGAGGACGTCTGCGGCGGAGTGGGGTGGCGCTCGCCGCCCCTCCCCGCCGCCGACGTCTACTCGCCGTCTCACTTGGCCCTGATCGCCGCCTACCAGGACATCAAGAGCCGGCTGGGCGGCCTGGAGCGCGAGAACAGCAGCATCAAGAGGAAGCTCAAGCTCTACGAGATCAAGGTGAACTCCGGCGCTTCACGTTTGCCACACGCTCTGTGTTTGCTTTGGGGTGTATCCAAGTACAAGTACTTCCAAGTTCCTCCTCCATTGAGGTCGTGGGTTACTTTTTCCACTTCCGCTTTTCTAATTTGTTTCAATTCAACGCGATTGAATTCAATTGAAATGTTGCAGCTTCAGCACCCTGGACAGAGCAACGGCTCTGCAAGGGCTCCACTTTCACCCCCTCCCAATCGGTTGCCATAGTGACGCCGTCTCAATTTATCACAGCGAGCTTTGCGTGCACGTAGTCATCGTCGACGTGGCCTAAGATGCCCTCAGAAATGAAAAATGTCCTTCCTGAAGAACAAGAGCAGATTTTTTTGGAATGTCTTCGTTCATCCATTCCCACACTCCAAACAGAAAAGGGGCCTCCCTCTTTTCTTTGAGCGTTCTGCCCGCTTTCTTCTCTCACTCCCACGCCATTCCATTACATTCGCTCTCGCTGTTGCCCGCCCCCCCCGGAATTGCTGCTAGCAAGAACTACGATTGACTGACTACCTGTCCAGGGGGTCCTCCGCCTCTGGCCTAAATTCAGCTGGGGATAGGCTCTCGAGAAGCGCTGGAGGAAGCAAACGAATAGATTGACACGACATTTTCCTCAAGATACAACCCAAATAATAAATAATAATCCACCTACTGGGACTAAGAGGATTTTCTTTTTTATTTACTCCCTCGACAAGAGCACCACACATAATCCTGTTAGCAAGTGTGCTCAGAGCCCACAGAGACAGATGAGTCTCTTTTTTTTTTTTTTTGGAGGGGGTGAGGGAAAAAAATGACATCTTTCGTGCTCAAACTGCTCTCTTGTACTTTCTTTTTGTTGGAGTCGAGCATTCTGGTAGGGGTTGGTCTCTGGGGCCCCTCAGTGCCTTTCGCTGTTTCACTGAGCAAAGACGGGAAAGGAAGCAGTTTGGCTAAATGGAAAAAGGTAGTTAAAGCCCGTCCTCACGCAGTCGGCGCACAGAGCGCGGAAAGGGAAGAGGGGGATAAATAAATGAAGAAATAAAATGCCCGAAGCTGACGGAAGGCATTCTAAATGCAAATGTGCTCGTTTATGTTGCTTACATAACACGTCTCTCATGTCAGGAACGAGTCCACTCGAATTCGCCTATTGCGCTCACGTACACGTCGTTCATCCACGAGACCAAAATGGACGTGACCGGCCCACGTTCGGCTTTACTGTCCATGCAGAGTTGAGTTAACTTTGGGCTTTTATTCTGAAATTTTGGAAAAAAAAAAGGAACAGGATTGAGACAAACAGGTTGAATAGATAATAATAATATATATTTTTTAAAAAGTTGGAAAAATTTGTGCAGAATGATTCAGTCATTGCGGCGCCTTCTGGTATGCGTGACGTGGCCAACAGGGGGCAGTAAAATATAATCACTACGACACAAATGAGGAAGAGTTTCACAGCCATCAATCGGTAAAAAGGAAATTTACAGTAGCAACACGTGTAACACGTGTTGCTTTTCACCACAGAGCTCCGTCAATGGACCGCGCAGTCACGGCGTGTGAACTCACACTTGAGCTATGTACAGAGCGCACACACACACACACACACACACACACACACACACACACACACACACACACACAACAAATCCTCACTACACCCCCATGTGTGGAAGTAGTTCCCAAAAAAGAAAAAAAACAAGCCAGTCTATTTTTGCTCTGACTGAAAATCCTAAAGAAATAATAATAATAATCATAATATTTTTTCATCAAGTCACTGGATGATTTTTGTGCACATTTTTCAAGCCCATGCACCAGAGTTAGTATTGAACTTTTGCATTTTACATGAATGTGAGTTTTGATGTCATTTTGACCTTTGTTTTTCCAAATTTAGTTGAGAGCAGATTTGTTTCATTTTTATTCGATTTTTTTTTTTCAAAAGTGCTTTCCTTCAGTTTGGGTTCTACCGGTTGCTTAAGCGCATCATGGCAGGCGCAGACGAATCTCCCGCTGTGTGTGTGCGTTTTCAGTTCCCCATGATCAGCGAGTTCGGCGAGGACGCCAACTCTTACTGCTCCTTCGAGAGCAAAGAGACGGCGCTGCTGCACTCGGAGAACGACAACCTGCAGCAGAGGGTCAACATCCTGACGCACGAGGTGGGCATTTTCTGACTTCAAAATCAGTCCCAATAAAATGAGATTTTGCATGGCAAAGCTCTTCATTGGCAATTTATGGTTTTGGATGATTGATGTTTTTTTTTTTTTCTGCTTATTAGCACACCGTGTTGATTGAGGCGAATGAGCAGCACACTGTGCTCCATCCAAATCTGACGAAGTACAATTAATGTTCTTTGGCACATTCTTTTTTTTTTTTTTAATCCTATTCTCTTTGTGTGTGTGTGTGTGTGTGTGTGTGTGTGTGTGTGTGTGTGTGTGTGTGTGTGTGTGTGTGTTAAATTTGCCTTTGTTGGCATTAGCATTTGCCTTGATTGCCTAACGGGCCGCCTGCTTTGGCTGTGAGTGAACAAGATTGGATGACTTGACTGCGGGGTTTTTTTTTTTTCCCGTCGCTCGAGTTTTGAAGTAGAAGAGGAAACTGGAAAGGACTCGGCGCGTGTTGAGTTTCTGACTGGCTCACGCCGGGCGCGTCTTCTAATGAGGGCGCGCCGCAAACAAGGCAAAGCGTCCTGGGACGCGTCAAGTGTTGAATCTGATGAAGCTATCGGAGCCGCTGCGCGTCCTAAAAGGACCTCCTCCCTCCTCTTACGCAACATCTCCCTCGCCGCATTTACCGGCCTCTTTCTGGTTGCCTCACTTTTTCCCTTTTTCGTCTTCTTGCGGGAGTAATTGCACAAAGTGGAGTAAAAGTCTGCCGCGTCTTCTGCTCCCTCAGCTGCAGAAGAGGAAGGAGCGCGAGGAGCAGCTGGAGGATGTGATCCAGGCCTACGAGAAGATCCACATGGAGAAGGGCAACCTCCAGAGGGACCTGGACAAGATGGTCTCTGTCTGCTCGTCTGGGCCCGCTCGCTCGGCCCATTTTTGTTGACCATGTGACCGATATGCGCTTCCAGACGGGCCTGGTGGAGAAGCACGTGGAGCGCATCCTGAGCCTGGAGGCGGCGCTGCGGCAACGAGACAATTCTCTGCACAAGCTCAACGTGCAGCTGCACAGCAAGGACATGCAGTACCTGCAGCTGCACGCGGGGCCAGACGCGCACAGTGAGTGCGAGCGCACGCCAACATACGCCCGTACGGGGCGGCGTCTCGATACTTGTGGTCAGACGCGTCCCCGTACCCGTCCCGACACGTTTGTCCAAACGCCGCGCATGCTTCACTTCCCGTTGCGGGCAACACTTGTGCTCATTTTGGGTCCGTCGTGCCCATCCAGTGCTGGACTGTCCCGCCTTGACGCTGCAGAGCTCGCGCAGCCTGGACGCGTTGTCCGACCTGAAGGTGCAGCGGCTGGAGGCCGAGCTGGAGGGGGCGCGGCACGAGGCCCAGGGGGCATGTCAGCGGGAGGAGGAGCTGAAGGCGCACTGCGAACGCCTCAAGGAGGACGTGAGGCAGCTGCAGGGCAGCCAGCGGGACAGGGTGAGTGGCACTAAGATTCGTTTTTTTTTTTTTTTTTTTGCCCCTTCCACATTAAAAACACAAGGGGGCGCCAAAGCACTTTTTTTCAATTAGACAAAGCTATGTGCTGACTGAATGAAGCTCCTCCCCTCAATTCAACACAAGTGCTTGGGTATAGTGGATATTCGCTGTATGTTTTATGCTTAGCAGCCCCCCCCCCATCCCCAAGCCCCAAAATAAATACATGAAGATCAAAATTTGCTAACTCACTTATTTGCCTCTGCGGCGCGCACCCGAAGCTGATTTCACGCCCTACTTTGGCAGGAGATGTCGTCGCCGTGCAAGCAGTGCGACGTGGAGTGGATCAAGAAGGTGGGAGACGAGCAGTAAGTGAGGGAGGGGGGGGGGGCACGCGAGGATGCAACCAGATGTAAAGCACGCTCGGGCCGAAATGCACGCAGTGTCCTGCAACATTTGTTAGCTGCCCCCCTGTGCCGCCCCCCCAAAAAATTTTTCATTGATTGAGTGGAAATAAGAAAACGCAGACCAAAACGAAAATGAAATTGGGAAAGCAAAAGCATGAAAAAAAAAAAAGACCATCGTGACTTGAGCGAGAGCTCCCACTCAGCAAAAGCCAACAAGAGGTTTGAGGGGAGAAGCATGAAAGTCAAGAATGAGTGTGTGCGCGTGTGGGGAGGAGGGGGGGGGCACTATTTCTTTCCAGGCCGCTGCCATCTCTTGGTTTTACTCACTGCTTTCACATCCTCCCACTGAGGGCCGCCCCCCCCCCCCACCCCCTCATGAACCCTTCTTGTAGTTTGGAGCATTTCGTGTAAACGGCACAACTCTTGAGTAGAGACTGAGAAGATATTTCTGCATTTTTAGGAACCAAAGTAGTCATTTGTGTCAAGTGATACATTTGGACTGAGAGACGAACATCTTTTTCGATTTGGGACGAGCTAAGTTTAGCCTGGGTTGTTATGGAGAGTCTTCACGTTTGCCACAAATGGCCATGGATTCAACCGCAAGGTGGCGGTCGACCGTACTTACCAAGTTCAGAGCGAGGTTCGGCGATGGTCGAGAACGAGAAGGCGTCCATACGTTGCACCTCGTCTTCTTCTCCAGGGTCAACCTGGCGCTGGCCTACACGGAGCTGACGGAGGAGCTGAGCCGCCTGCGAGCGCTGAGCTCCAAGCAGACGGAGATCCTGAGGAAAGCCTCCCAAGAGCAGCACAGTCCGGGTGAGCCATCTGCAAAAGACGCACGGGGTCAGACGCGGGGTCATTGTACTGCAAATTCCAAACTCTGTCCGACGAGCAGTCAAGTGGGGAACGCGCTTTGCGGAGGAATTGTCAGTGAAGGCCGAAAGGCCGAATGAAAAGACGTGGAATGATTTGGAATGATATTTATCACAGTCCTTCGAGAACCGATGCGTGACGGGTGTGAACCGTGTGGTTGCAGTCCAGCGGCACTCCCCCATCCACCACCAGCGCCACTCGCCCGGGTCGCAGCGCCACTCGCCCATCTCTCAGCGCCACTCGCCGGTGGCGCCGCAGCCGCCCGCGCACCACTCGCCCATCCAGCAGCGGCGCTCGCCCGTGCTGCAGCGCCTCTCGCCCGACACGCACCGCCGCTCGCCCCTGCTGGACGTCAGCGAGGCGGGCCCGGCCTCGTACTCGTGCCGGCCGCCCAGCCAGCACCTGCGCGCCAGCTTCCAGGGCCGCCGCAGCTATTCGGAAGTGACCGACCCGTCGGCGTACCAGTGCCCGCCGCGCTTCTCCCTGGACCCGGTGTCCACGCTGCCTAAGCCCCGCCCCTTCGTGGAGGGCTACTCCAAACAGACAGCCCAGCACTCGCCTCACGGCGGCCTGCAGCACAGAGGGGCGTCGTCGCCCCACCAGGGCGGCGGCGGAGGGGACGAGAGCGCCATGCGCCACCCCAGGGAGATGCCCTTTCCGCTGCGCTTTGAGCCGCCGCCGCCGCCGCCCTCGGCGCAGGCCCCGCCGCCGCCCCCACAGTCCTCCGAAGACGAGGAGGAGTGGACCTGCCCGCATCCCATCAGCCCGCCCAGGACGCTGGGCGCACTCTCGGCCGCCGTGCCCTCGGGCGCCATGAGGGGTCCGGCGTCCTGCTCAACCTTCCCCGCCCCCCAGTGCGCCAACGCCCTGGGCTGCCACCCCCAGCCCGGCTACGTATCGGCCGAGCACGCTCAGTCGTGGCCCTCCATCAATGTGAGTGTTGATCCTCGACGCATTTCTGCATGCCAGCCTTGCTAGCACGCTAACAACTGTCGCTAATCGCAATATTGCTCATTTATCGACGATTGCCAACCTTTGAGGAGTGAGTGTTAATTACTTCCATTTTATTTTTTTTTACTTTCATTTTATCCCAGCGGACATGTTCCAGACCCATTGAACACACTTGAAACAAATTACACAGATGTTCAAATAAGAGTTCAATATTTGCTTCGGGCCTTTTTCGTCCCTCCCGGTCTCAGTGCAAACGACAGGCTATGTAGACACGTCGGCTGACGCTAACGTTACCTCTGGCGTTGATGTTTTTGCTTAAGAGTGCGAGCGTGGGCTCGGACAGAGCGTGAGTGAGTCATTATCGACAAGTCGGGTCTTGATTCCACGTGACGCACGCGCTCGAGCAGTCGCGGTGACTCATACGAGAGCAGGCGAGATGCGTAAAGGCGGCCGCAGCGACCGCGGCGCCGTCTAACCGGCCACCTGTGTCGCTCGGCAGCTCTGGATGGAGACGGAGGAGAGCGACGTGCGGAGCTGCCCGTTGTGCCAGCTGATGTTCCCCGTCGGTTACCCTGACGACGCCCTCATCAAGCACATTGACTCCCACCTGGAGAACAGCAAGATCTGATCGCCATGGCGACCGGATGACCAACGTCAGAGGCTTGCAGGAATTTATTATTTTTCTTTTGATTATTTTTTTAATTTTCAACGACCAAATGGGGTTGTAATTTTTTTGGAAAGTTGCTTATAAATTCCCATGGGAAATGAAACTGGGGAATTTTTGGAATTTGGTCTCAAAACAACCCCCGCCAAAAAACTAAAAATATTTGGAGAACTTGTCATTTTTGGCATGCACACCCTGTGCTAACATTACTGGGAGCTTCTTTTTTTTTTTTAATATACATTTTAAAATTATTTCAAAAATGTGAAACATTTTTGTATTTTGAGCAATTTCATAAGTTATTGAAACATTAGTTTTTTTTTTTTTATTCCAGATTCAAGAGCCAGCCTTCAATTTCGTAAATTTCTGGTTGATTCCAATAAATTTCTGTTCATTCCCATGGAAAGTTTTCAGTTCCCGGAATTTTGCGAGATTAAGACCAAGATGGCCATCTTTTTTTTTACCCCAGTGCACGGCTCCATCTTTTGGATTTGTGAGTCCTGTCCTGTGCTTTTTGACTAATCACGGCGGTCCAGTGGCTCTGCATGTTGGTGTCACCCTCACCGTCCAAGCTTTAACGACGATGCGTCTAGCATGAAACACGAACATTTGTACTCACGTTATACCTTTTACGCTTGCGGCCTGTAAAAAAAAAAAAAAAAAAAAAAAAAATCTTCGCACTTTATGCTAATTTTTTGTCTCTGCTCTGTGTCTGTCTCACCCCCCTTATATACATTGTGATATTATTCATATTATAAATCTGTCAAAGCAAAAAAAAAAAAAGGATTTCTATTTTTTCAGCACGTTTGAGGCTGGTGACAGAAATGTAATGTCCAGAAAAACACAGACGAGGTGCACTGGGAGTCTTCCTAAAAAAAGAAGAAAAAAACAAAAACAAACAAACACTATGGACAAAAGCAGTGGGTCTGTTATCCAGGAATGGGCAAACTAATTTAATTTTTCATATGGTCTTTTGAAAAAAAAAAACAAAAAAAACCCTGAAATGTATGCAAAGTATGTAACCTCGTGTATTTTAAAATCCACATTTTTTTCTTCCTGGAGGTTTCCCAATACTTTGTAGTGTACCCACACAATACGATGTCGCCCCGACCGCCCGTTTCAACATTAATCCAGCAAAAAAAAAAGAAAAAAAAAAGCAAATCATTTTGAGGAGAATTGATCTTGACCTGCTGGTGAACCTTAAGAACATTGATGTCAGCTCATCTGAGGTTTTATCAGTCACACGAGCACTTCCGGCCGATTCGAGATGCCGTCTTTTTTTTTGTCTTTTTTGCCCGTCATTATAACACCGCGTCAGCCAAAAAAAAAAAAAAAGTGATCGTGGGGGTTAAGTAACGTTTCCTGTCGTGAAGATCCGAGTAACGAATCAACATTCCTGCACTTTCCCCTCCTTTCTGAATTTTTTTAAGGGCTACTTTGCTGCCATGCATGTCGCAGAATGATGACATCACTACAAAGATGCAAACATCCCTCCGAAAATTTGAATGGCCGTCACCAGATTTTCCCCCTGATTGAGCAAAAGCAACGTGATAGTCGGATTCACCACATGAAAATTGGACCAAATAAGCAAAATAAAATAAATTCAGCTCAGGCATGGGCAACTGAAATAATAGGGGTGGGGGGGCACGCTTGTGTGAAAACGCACCGATAATTGACACCCACCTGTCATGAATCAGACTTGAACTTTTCTCCGAAACTAATTATCCGAAAAGAATTATCAGTGAATGATCTTCTGTGCCACCTACATGAAAAACTTGCCCTGGTTGCGTGCACACCTCCACCTCTTGCTTTCTTTTCTTTTCTTTCTACGTTGACTCAGGAGAACTCAAAAAGAAACCCAAGCAGAGGAACAAATCAAGTTTTTCCACGACGTTTCCCCCACTCAGGAGACCAAAACAGCTTTTATCAGATTGTGAGGCAAAAGGACACAATGCTGCCAACGGAGACGTAATGGGACATCTCGATGTCACTTTTTTTTTTTTTCTTTCCGTTTTGTTTCTGTAAATAGTCCAACCAATAAACTTGCACTGAAACTCGCCTTCTCGGCTCAGTTCAATGTCAATTAAAAACTTTCACCGCTTTCCATTTGATATTTACACACATTTATAGAAGTCACATGGGACTCTACAGCCCATGAACTTTACACTCCAATATTGTTGTGGATATAAAAAGTCTACACACCCCTGTTCAAAGGCCAGCTTTTTGTGACCCCCCCAAAAATAAGACCAAGAGAAAGAATTTTTACACGCGCGAGAAAAAAAAGGCTTTTGTGTCAAATGGGATTAAGCACACAACTGCCACGATTTGAAGCGCCGATGAATAACCTCAAATAAAGTTCACGTGCTCTAGTAGGCTTTTCCTGCCATGTTTTCTTTTTTTACTTTCGAGCAGCAGCCTGATGGTTTTGTGCTCAGACGAAGTGCGATTTGAAACTGTTCCTAAATTCCCCCAACGTCACCAAAGCCACATTTTAAAAATGAGAAAAAAAAAACTTTTTGTGCTATTCACAGTAAAAAAAACGGCAAAGAAACTGCGGTGGCTTTAGCGTGCACACCCATCAAGTTCACCAGTGGCCACTTTTGTAAATATGCAGTGGGGTCGGAGATTTGTTTGTTTTTGGTGCACATTTTCTGTGTGTGTGTTCAATGACATTTGATGCCCCCCACACCCTTACTAAATTTGGCTTGTACATTTTCAGAAGCAGGCCGCTAACCTCAGGAAGAGGAAAAAGTGATAAAGTTCACCGCCCATCCGGGCCACAAAAACCACACGAACCTGCAAGCATGGAAATGTTCCATCAGCTGAAGGCTGACGTTGATTCCAACTCGAGAATTCGGTCTCCTTTTTTGAATGTTATTGACAATTGATTGAGTTATTCCAAATAGATTCAAGAGCACGCACGAGCGGGTGTCTTCAGGCTTTCCCAGAACTTGACAGGCGGCTTGACGAATCCTGCAGCCGAGCAGAAAGTTTCACTTTTGCTTTCTTTCTTTGTGCATGACAAATCGATGCGGTTGCTGCGTGATCGTTTGACATCAGTCCAGTCGATCCAAAAGCTTTTGGGGTGGCATGTCGAAAGCGTTCCTCCGCCCACTAGGTGGCCACATAAACCACATCAATCGCACCGTGTACACGTCACAACACAACCACTCTGCTTGACTGCGAGCGCCTTTGCCAGAAAATAGTCATGACAAGAATAAGGAACCTCTAAGGAACATTTTCATTCTTTCAGAGATAAATAAAACAACTCTTTTTTCAAATGGACTCTTCAGAATGAATAAAATGACTTCATACAATAAACTCGCTCAATGTACCGCACATGCACTCGATGTTTGTGTTGTATTATTGACAATAAATCAATGAAGCAATTACGGGAGGACAAGCAACCTTCACAAAGGAAGGCCGCAGCCAAGTTTCAAACTCCCAACCTCAGAGCAGAGAAGCAAACGTGGTCACCGATCAAACATTTTGATTGGACGTCACCAGAAGTGAAGCGAGCGTGACATTTTCCGCCGATACGTTCGGGTCGTGGCGCCGCACGGCTGACAATGTGTTCGTTCTGGGGAGCTGGCACAAGGCCCGGAAGCGCGATCGAAAGGCCAGTGAGAGGAGGCCGTGTCAGGGAAACAAACACGCAACGCAAACAAAAACAACAATAGTCTGGAATCGTGGCATCATACGACACCGTTTGCACGTCCTGATACGCGGTGGGGGTGGGCGGCGGGCGACGGGGGTTTGCTTTGCCGGGGCCAGGCTCAGGCGGTGAACTGTATCTGAACCCGTGACCTATGTAAGGAACCCGTATTGATGACTGGCAGCGCACTCGCTCGTTCTCTCGCTGCAGCCGGCATCGCATGGCCTTGGGGGGTGGGTCACCCTGGGGGAGGGCAGGGGGGGAGCGGCGTCTGACAGATGAGTTTGAGGGGATGTTTCGTCTTTGAGTTAGCCAGGGAGTGACAAAAAAAAACTCGGAAGCTACATTGTACTGTGACGACATACCTATTGGGGTGAAAGCGACGAGTCGACTCGTTTTTTGCAAATTTTTGGAGTTGCAAGGCGTTTTTCTGCAGATTTTTTTTTTTTTTTTGCTTTGACTTGCGAGCAAAAACTCAAGATACAAGCGCCGTATGGAACGTGAACTCAATTCAAAATGAAGCGGTTTGCCAGACAGTGAACAATGCGTCCAAAAAAAAAAAAAAAAAAAAAAAAAACTCCCCCAAAATGGGCGTCCGTCCGCACCTTCCGTCTCAGGGAAAGAATGCCCAACACTGACATTAATCGTTTTAGACTGTCCAGTAAAAAGTCGCGAGAACTTGTCAACTTTCTATTCTTTATTGTCTGTGGCGATTTTTGTTTGTTTTTACAACATCATAGTTGAGAATGCTATTTTTCTCCAGTAGCAAGTAGTAGATGTATGGCTATTCTTGATTGTCTGTGGCGATTTTTTATTTTTTTTGTTTTTACAACATCATAGTTTAGCGTGCTATTTTTCTCCAGTAGCAAGTAGTAGATGTATGATTTGACTGCAATGACCGTCGATAAAAAGTGGTGGCGGCGCATCACCTTTGATGCAAAGCGAGCGCGGCAGATACTCAATCTGTCAAATGGAGCGTTGGGGCCCCGAGGTAGTCGGAAGAGGCGGCAAGGAGCGCAGACAGAGCCTCCCCTCGTTGACTGGTTTTGCGAAGAAGGCGTCGCGACCCGCAAAACTCCTGCTTGTTTTTCCACGGACCGAACCCAAATGCAGCTGAGCGACGGCTTGTGGGTCTACGCGCAGCGAGCTGCGCGGCCGCCCAAACCCGTCATCATTAGCCGCCTGGCAGCGGGCGCCGGGGCCTTCTCGATTCTTCCTCGCAGGCGGCGGTATCACAGCTCCGATCTGTCACCCCGCGCCCGCCTTAATGTGTGAAAGCAAGACGTGTTGCGCCTATTAGCACTTCTTGGCTAGGCTGGCACGCTGATCTCTCGTCCCCGGGGAGCCCTGCAATATGGTGCCGCATGGTGACCGCCCGCCGGCCCCGGCTGCCGCTGTCACAACACATCACGCGTCCCCGCCCGCCGTTCCGTCACCAGTGACGGCGGCAGCCCAAAGGTTTCCATTCGAAACTTTTACATGGATGCTCGGAAAGCGTTTTGG